GGGTGTGGGTGTGGATGTGGGTGTGGATGTGGGTGTGGGTGTGGATGTGGATGTGGGTGTGGGTGTGGGTGTGGGTGTGGGTGTGGGTGTGGGTGTGGGTGTGGATGTGGGTGTGGGTGTTGGTGCGTGTGGGTGTGGGTGTAGGTGAGGTGTGTGAAAGAATAACACTCACACCCTTAACCACGCCCACTTACCCACACCCACATCTACACCTACACCCACACCCACACCCACACCCACACCCACACCCACTCCCACTCCCACATCCACGCCCTTTGTCTATGATAAGAGAGTATATTTATTTAAGCGAAAAACACTATAGTACAGTTATATGTTAAAATTCCAAGGATTACATAAAGTTAAAATCATTTTCATAAAATAAGTGTTTTTGGTTTTTCTTTTCTGAAAATGTAGGATAACTCTGAGTTATATAAGTAAATCAAGTAATGCATATGAAAATTTTAACTTGATTGTTTTAAGAAGCTGTAACATAAACTTGATTATATTGATATTGACTTTCTTCTACAGATGGTTGAAGATCATTTAATGTTCTAATATTGGATTGGCCATTATTACGTGAAGAATGAGATAATGAAATAGATGCACTATCATACTGTCTATTGTGAGGTGCATTTTGATGAAGCAAGTTTCTAACTTGTCCATCCATATTTCCAGGTGGAAAATCATCACTATTGAAATGACGAGCATCAGGAAATTCAAGCCCAATAGTATCGTAATTGATAACAACAACACTGATGCCTATGGAAGATAATTCCTTCATTGTTTGCTGATGTAAATATCTTAATGTTCTAGTGCTTTTGTTATCGTCACCATCAGAAAAAATAATAAGACGTGAACCAGAATTCGGACGATTTTGTGCATCATGTTTCATTATTTGAAGTACATTATGTAAACGTTGTATGATATTACTTCTATATCGAGGGCGTGATTTATTTTTATATTTATTTTGAATAGCATCCAAACTAAGTGAATGATCAGGATATTCATCGGTATCACCTTGGAAACTAATGAAATAACGATGAATATAAGATGGTTTTATTCTTTCAAATGTTGCACACATGTTTAAAGCATGTTCGCCACGTGTAAGACCAGGAATAATACTACAGAGTGGCCATTTTATACCGTAGGTGTAATCCATTGATCGAGAAGTATCAAGCAAGTAATATATACGTGGTATAGAAAGTGGTTCTGGCATGCCTTAAAAGTAAAAGTTTTTTGATTTCATACGTTGATAAAAGTTATTCATAGTTATTTCATTTCAAAGTGACATATGTCAAGCATCAGGGGAATTACAAAGGAAGTCCTCGAATTATCGATTCCCTTTAAAAACGAGACGATATCAATCATCTTGGTTTCAGTGAGCTATGAAGACATATAAAAAAGCTTGTTAGCGCAACCCCTTTGGGGCTGAAATGTGGAACTCACATATCTCCTTTGGTTTCATTATACTAATGGCACAATACCCAATATTTAAAATCTCCGAAAGATAATAGTTCTTTTCTAAAGATAATCGATTATTAGAAAATGTTAAATTTTTATCTCTAAATTTCGAACAGAAATTTTTATTTTCACGAAGTTGCCAAGGTCTGTAATGGGGCGGGGGCGTATATATCTGTAAGGTGGATGGGGTGTCTGTAATGTTCTCTTTCGTTGCTATGGTCTGTAAGGGGGGGGGGGGGGCTGTCTGTAAGGGGAGGAGAGCAGCGAAACCTCGAACTTAAAAATTACGCTCACTATTTTCTTCGAAAATACATGTGAGTTCCACAAAACTATATCGGATTGCGAACGTATTGCTCCCGAGATACTACAGTGTTACTTTATCTTTGAAGTACACAATACCATGACCATCTCAAAACTATCAAGAAAATCATGTTTCGAATTTCGACTTACAATTTTGAAGACAATTAAGATTTAATGAGTACTATTTACTTGGAAAGTTTTAACTGTTTTAGTTGTTTCTATCCTAAGATAAGAAAATCAGAATCTGTCTATGGATGCGAGAGATGTAAAATATATGTTATTGTCATACACATATCTTAGTATACGAGTAATCAAAAGAGTTAAAAATTTCAACCTATTGTTACTCAAAGTTTTATAATCGAAATTTGAAATTTACTTTTTCTATTGTTCTTGAACTAATCAAGGCGTCGTGCTACAAAAATACTCTAGGAACCCAGAATCGAGATTACACTACGCTAGTATTCGGAATTCTTTCTTAAAGTATCCATTAGAATCCAGCAAACTGGTCCGATTAGACCACAGATCGACGCGGGTTCAGATTTCACGTAAAAATTTGTCGGGTTTTAACAGCTTTTATTTTTTCATAACATATGCTCCCCATGTAAAAAATTTTTCATAGAAATTCAATTAAAAATCGATTAAAATGCCACAATTTTTATCAGATTTGAATCGAATTTTTTAGGTTTCAAGACGGATTTTAATTGGTTTTTATCCTTTTCAATCTATTTTAATCGATTAATAAGCTTTAATCAGTTAAAACTAATTATCAAAATCGATTTTACTTGATTTAAGTTTATTAATCGATTAAAATAGATTAAAATCAAATAAGATCCGTCTTCAAGCCTAAAAAGTCCGATTAAAATCTGATTAAAACTGTGCCATTTTAATCGATTATTAATCAAACTTTTAATCAGAAATTTTTACATGAGTCTCGCCGTCTCTTTTTTTTTGCATGCTGTATACATGGAAAAATGAAATAGTAAACTATTGGATTATGTACCAAACGATGAACAAATGCTTGTAAACTTTCTTTCTCGATAAACAATAAACTTATTTTCATATATTCATATTTTTATGATCTTCCTTCAAAAACGAAGGTGTAGGCATGGGTGTGGGTGTGGGTGTGATAAAAAGATCGAGAACTACTATCTCACTCACATCTTACACCCGACTCCCAACCCACAACTCGCACCCACTAGACACCGGTGTTACCGGTTGCGTCCAGTCACAACCATACAGTATCCTGGAATTTGACTAACGCTGAGATGGAGTCCGCATGATGTTCCATAGCGATAACATGGCAACATCAATCAGATCGCAAAGTATTCTTTGGTGGTGACTGGACGTGATCGGTCACGCCGATGCCTGACATTCACATCGTATCTTTTGTTATTTTCATGAACTTTGTATTGTTTCATGTGCTACAGGTTGGAATAAAGTAAGCCATTTGTGGAAAAGAAGGAACATTATTTCTCGGTCGGGTCGGGTACCGGGTTCTATTTCTCGGATTGGATCGAGTTTCAGGTCTTACGCTTCGGTTCCGGTCGAGCTTCGGGTATTAAATAAAATGTTGGGTCAGATTCAGGTATGAAAAGTCGTACCCGTACAGAACTCTAGTATATATACCTGTTTACCAACAATATATGATGCAAATAAATTTGATTCAAAAGTGGCTGAATAATCGAAGAATTTTCGTCATATGACAATACAAAATATACTTGATATCGCCAATATTTATGTGAAAGTTGAACCGAACATTTATACTTTTTATAGATAAGGATAATTTTGTGATAGAGAAGTATATAAAAAAAAAGATATCACTCTTTTTCCAACATCGAAAGATAAAGACCCCTTGTTTTTTCCATGTGCACTGTCATAATATTATTTATCACAAGTACTATCTTGAGGGTGTGGGTGTGGGTGGTGTGGGTGTGGGTGTGGATGTGGGTGTGGGTGTGAGTGTGGTGGTGGTGTGTGTGCGTGTGACTGTTTATGAAACAAACGTCTACCCACACACCCACACCCTACACTTACTTAATCTATAGTTGAAGATGCTTTCCTCGCGTGTCATATCAGCACCCTGCGAAAACGGTTTGATGAGTGTTCGATCGAGAGGAAACGCTGAGTCTGCTATTAAGTGTGCTTGAATCTTAGAATTATTAACTATTATATGATGATCTTTATAGATTGTACTTCGGATTATTTCTGATAAATTTGACCTAGTGTAGACAGATGCGTCGTTGCACCTACCAGGTGCTCCGACGTTTATGTAACGGAATCATAGATCAGAATCAACTACGGCGAGCAAAATGACTGAATAAAATTTTTTATAGCAATAGTAGTCAGCTTCAGCACCTGGTGGTGGCTTAATATTTATATGAGTGCCGTCTAAGGCCTCAACGCACATCGGGAAATGAAACTTTTTTAAAAAACCGTCTGTAGTCTCTTTAATTTCGTCACTAGTTACTGGAAATTTTATAAAACGGTACATAAATAAATAAACGATTACATTACAAAAAGCATTCAATATTTGCGCAGCGGTACTTTTACCTATTCCAAAGAGATTTCATACAGTTCTTAATTCTGCACTAGAACCAATCAAGTACAAAGCACAACATACCATTTTGTTGACAGGAATACTTCTTCGAAATTTTGTATTAGATTTTTGTAAATATGGTGAAATTTGTTGAAGAAGATCCGAATAAGTTGAACGTTCAAGCCGAAAATTTGATTTAAATTCTTTGTCTGTCATATGTGGCACCACATCATTCCACCAAGTAGCATTTCTATTCAAACACCACATGGCACGACAGTTAATTTGCAATGAATTATCCAAATGTGATAATAAAGTTATAATAAGCTGATTTAATATATTTAAATTGCGGCGATATTTATGTAATAATTGTTGACATTGGGACTGAATAATGCGTATGTCAGTTTTTAATTTTTTCTTTTTTGAAAAATATGCATTTAATAAAAAAAGTGATGTTTTATTCATCTAGAAATAGAAGAAAGTGTTAATAATAGTCAGCACGAAAATTATTCAACAATATTGTTACTTTGTGAAATAATTGTTCAACTTCGAGATATTTTCAAAAATAGCATAGCATGCATTATGAAAAAATAATTTCCACATAGTTAACTTTCTTTCTTAATAAGACAAGAACTACAGAAATAATAATAGGGACAGGTATGGAAGAAATAACTTAACATTCAAAAATAAATTAAACAATATCTGGTTCACAAAAAATTATCGAAAAAAAGAACTTCAATTAACAGACAATAGATACATAGATTCTCATGAAAGACCTAAATTCATAAGCATATAAAGTATAAGCTTCAAAGACTTTATTGTTTTGAATTCGCATTGTTCAGAACGTTTCTGAAAATATCCAAGAACTCTCTGTCTGTTTTGACGCTTTCCTCCTGAAGCTTTGTTTGCTTTTCAAGCAATTCTATCATCTTGACTTCAGATCGACATGCAGCTTCATTTGCGTCATTGATCTTTCCGAGAAGTTCTTGCATAAGATCAAGCCTTTTAAAAGAGAAATAAAAAAAATACTGTTAAAACATTCTTAAACTTATTTTACTTTATTTCAGAAGTGCGCTTTTTTTTAAGTTTGTTGTTTTTTTTCGTAGTATTATTAATTGTAGGAGTTCCAGACTTCATTATAAAATTATTACGAGAAGAACTTGGTGATTCATTGACAATATTAAAATTAGAACTAGCTGTTTCTTCAACATTTGATGTTATCACACAATCATTGACCGATTGCGATATTTGTGTCGCATTTAGATCAATTGGTGAGTTATTTTCGACATCCACGAGTTGGGCTTCTTGAATAACCATAGAATCTGTTAGTAGAGAATCATCATTATAAGGTCTCTCTCCTAAAGTTGTACATTTAAAATTATTAAAATATATCATGTAAAAATGATTTTTGCGAGCTATCTGTTTATACACAGAAAAAAATTGTAATTACTATATTTTAGATTACATGCAGCAAATCAAACTTACCTAGTAACTTATCTAGCACGTCAAAGTAAGGCCAGGTTGACGGACTAGCACCTGTCTTCCCTTGCTCTTTTTTTTTCTTTCGATATTCTATCGTAAGATTCGAAATCTTGTTTTTCACATCAGCACCACTTAACTGTCGATCTTTTAACATTGAGTGTAGCTCTTTTGCCATTATTTTATAGATAGGAGCATTTCTTTGCCCACCAGAATATAATCTTGGCTGAAAATCACTCCAGACCCTGATAAATGCTAATGTTTCACGATCGCTCCAGTTTTTAGATCTCGTAACTATTTTGTAGACTAAAATCATTATTTACTGCTGATACAATTCAAAGTCTTTTACCTTTTTTCTTATCTTTGTGTATCTTGATAGTTTCTTTTGTTTTATTTTCTCCAGATTCAACACATACTAAATCACTTTCCAGCTTTGAACTTGATGATGTTGATTTACTAGTTGTTGTAAATGTATTTGTACTTAAAAAATGATAAAATTTCGTAACAAATAGGATTCAAAAATTATGCTACACAAATCTACTTGCGTGTCTTTTGTAATGAAAGAGATTCAACAATTTTCGATTCTGTCACCGGCGTATCAATGAAAGACAAGTTTGTTTTTTCAAGAGATGCCGCGTGAGTTGTTGATTTATTAATTGCTAGTGGTGCTATTTGATTAGAACAATTTATTGTTGTGGGATTTTTTGTAATAATAAGACGAGTCGGTAAGGTAGCTGTAGGTGATGATATAATTCCGTTAAGAACTCGAATTGAAGAAATACTATTTTGTTGCTGCACCCCTTCGTGTATAGGTTTGAAGTTCGATGAACTTTGTAATTGAGAATTAAATTGAAGATTATTGTTAGACGAAACGACAAATCGAGTATATTGTGGTTTCATTATCTACAATAAACGCAATAAATAAAATTTGCGTTTGCTTTTTACGTGCAATTGAGTACAAATAAAAGTGGAACAGGATATATTCATTTCGACGTCGAATTTTATCATGAAAGCCATTTATTATGTTCGTATGCCACGATGAAAAAAATGGAAAGAACGCACAAACGGGAGTCGCCACAAGTGTTTTTTTCCATGGACGAAACGGGATAAAATTCTATTGGTGCATTAAAGTTAAATCGTCTCAAAAAGATGATTTAACTCTGATTTAACTTTTCTGACGATTCTATTGGTTAAATCAGTTTTAACTTCTCTAGTGTGAACATACCCTTATTATATGACATGAAATGTTCGTTACCATAGTGATTCTATTTAGAATTTACATTCTATTGTTTACTTTAGAATTTGAATTAAATCAGAAAAACAAAATTAGAACAAGGGCATTTTAAAGTCCGTAGAAAAAATATAATTGTCTTGAAATATTTATAGAGGTCACTAATAAATATCTTCGATAGCAAATGGCATTTTTAGCTTTTTATTTCTTTTTTATCTGAGCTAGGAGTCAAACACACTAGGAAGAAAAGAAAAGAAAACGTTAAATCAATCGTTTTCACCTTATGTTTTAATAGATTTATGGTCAGAGAAAACGTGAACAAATGTGAAAGGAACAAATTATTTCAATGTTCTACTGTAAAATGGGTTAAAATGCAGAGAGCTATAAGACACCATAGAAAGAAAGTTTGTATGTTGTAATGACATATAGAAATATGATTAGTCACAAATTAATTTAAGATCCTAATATAATATACGTGTATTACACTATGGTATATTTTTAGACGACCAAATAGATCTTTTGTTAAAAGTAAAATGGAAGAATCACAAAATTCAACAAATATTATCCATACGATATCCAATACACTATCATATTTATCTTTATCAAACCAATCTGATATAAAGTATAGACCCATGCCTGATCCATTATCTGTCTACGTACCATTTTATTCTCTAACTGAGGAAACTATTGATTCGATTGTTTCGACTGTTCAACAATCTAATAACAAGGATTGGAATCATAGTAAACGTACCTTACTCGCATTTTTACTTGCAATCAACAATAAAGTGAGTGAAATAGAAAAACAGGACTCGAAAAATACATTCGATAGACAAACTGCACAACACGCTGCAAAAGTTCGACAATGGCTCGTTGAGAAAGATCATTCTGGTAACGTAAAAAAACTTGATTGGGATGAACTTCGTAAAACTTATGATCATATGGCAAGAGAGAAAGATGACGGCATGGCTAAGTATTTTGGTGTCACAAACGTTGAACCTTACTATGAGTTAACTATTGAAGGGGTGAGTTTATTTATATCGTACATATTAAATTTCTTGTTTATGATTTCAATTGAGACGTCTCTAAATTTCATGAATTCTGAACTCTCAAAGATTTTCTCAAGTTAAACACCAGACAAAAAAAAAGAACTCTTCAATCATATCTAAATAGAACTCAAAGAACTAATAAAATTCATAAAACTATGAGTGTCATATTTCTCATATTATTACCAGTAAGTGGCAGGTGTGTATCACTTACTACCTAACAATTAGATATTAGCTGGTAAATGTTTTAGATTTAATTGAAGATATGAGCGTTTCTACTGTCCATATACACATCCATACCCACATCCTTCCACTCATCGAATCAGGTCGTTTTCAATAATATTAATTCTGTCAGAATCAGTTACTTCTGGTTGTTTGATGCAAATAGAAAAGGCTTAGTATAAATTTACTTTTAGTATTCAGTATCTCATCAAATCGATCGTAATAGGTAATTGAATATACAATTTATCTCATTAGACTCGGTAACGAAAAGTCGATCAGAAGACGATAATATTGTTATAATCCTATTAGTACTAATAATAAGGTCGAAAAAAACGAGATTTCAATCGCTTGTAAATTCTAAATAAGTCTGCTATATATATTTCTATGAACGTCAGATCCATTTTAAATTTCTTATGACATATCATTTTTTCTAACTCTATGTGAATGTCATATCTGTCTAATTATTCTATCCATAAATATTTATGGAGTATATATATATGTTAAATGAATCTTATTCAAGACTATCTGCACTAGATACTCGCAAAATTTTCAAGACTACTTTTATATGAAAGCAACAACCTCTCGAAACTTTTCAATTTATTTGACATAAATATTTATCAAATGTGTTCAGTAAATTTTCATTGTTCTTTGCAAATATCTTCACTACAATCACAAGTTTTAATCAATAATGAAACAAAGTTTTTATCAAATGTGGTAAATATTTCGTCAATGGTTATGGAATTTCCGTCATCAAAGATTTCTAATATGTTAGTAAACATGAACAAAGGAAAATTGATAAAGAGAGTATATCAGTTTAATTTTAAGAGTAATGAAATTTTTCAAAAGAAATTCAAAGATTTTTTGTGTGTCGCTATCGAAGTTGTGTCACATGAAATAAAGACTGATTTATCTACAAGATTGAATATCATATCGGAAAAAGAATTATAAATTATCTATAATATGTCAATATATATTTGAAAAATTTACAGGTATCATTATGTCTGTGTAATCGTGGAAAAGAAAATTATGACTCATAGATAGAAAAATATTATTTTATGTTCTACTCATCTAGGTACGCTGATTAATTCTTATTTAAAGAAACGTTTGTTAGAGATAAATGATAATTTTTCGAAAAATTATAATAAGAATAATTTTATTCATAGATAATAATTAACATGATTTAAATTCAATTATAAAGATAAATCTATTGATAAATATAAAGTTATTATTGTAGACAAGTATTTTCTTGTCTTAATATATGTTAGAAGATGAAAAATTTTCCATCTATCCATCAATAATTATTTCTCTTTTATTGATTTATTTATTTCTGTAAATTTTTAATTTCAATTCATGAAATTGTGTAATATTAAGATTTTTAATACTTTTTCACGATATTTAATGTTACTTATGTTATTTTTCTTACTTTACTTTTGATAAACTTATAATGTCTATTATTTTATCTAATATGTTAAAGTCTTATGAGTTTAAATAAGATATTATTAATAAGGCATATGGCTCTATATTAGTAAATCATAGATTAAAAAATAAAGACAACAATAGTATGAAGACCGTTTTACATAATATAATCCTAATAATCGTAGAAATTCCAATAATCTGAGTATGAGTTGAACAATTTAAATGTACTTTAAAACAATATTGAATAAAATCCTGGCTTTTGAAACATGTGACAACTTAGACTAATCATTTATTGTATTTGATAATAAACTATTTTAAATAATTCGACAAATGATGATAAATGATTTTTATAGAGATTTGGAAAAACAAATCTTTAGAAAACGAATTGTTTTAAAAGATGAATAAATAGTGAAATTATTAATGAAACATTGAGAGAATCATTCTGTTTCCGACATTAATTATAAGATTATCTTTTAATAAGAAATAAATCAATGAAATCATAATCAATCACTTACTAATATTATTTATTCTAAAGAGAAGAACAATTAAGGTGAATAGGATGTGGGATAACATGACATTTGAATGGTTACTTTTTTTACAAGTTTTAACAGAAAAAGTTCGCATAGTTTCCAAATTACTATTGTAGTTCGAACTTTATCGAGCATATTTTAGATTTCGAAGAGTATCATCAAGACATTCCTTCTAGTATAATCGAATATTGAGTTAGCTGTCAGAATTCCTTAAAATTTGTATAGAAAATTTTTGAGTTTCGACATTTTTGAATATTTTCAGATCTAAAAAGCGATTAGATTCAATATGATTCGAAACGAAAAAATCATATATATTTTATCTTATGTTAAATTAGAATATTTTCAATAGAATTCAGCTAGAAAATACGATTATTTGAAAAGAAAGAGTTCTTAAAAGAATTTTTCGAAGTAACATCAATTATATTATTTATATTTATTTAGTTACATCCCGATATAAATCAATCTCGAGAGTATATGGCTCGGTTCCGCAGTCACGGTTGGAAACATAATGAATTAAAAATCTATTGGAATGTTGAACAACTTGAAAATCTTTGCCCGATACATGAAACACAAACTAAGCACATGGAAATAAAAGATGAAGAAAATAATAATATCAATAGTCAAACGAAAATTGAACCAAAATGTGAAGCAGAAAATAATCGAAAAGATACAACAATAATTGAAACAAAACTCGAAAAAAACAAAGAAACGAAAGATGAAGCAACAGTTGAAGTGAAAAATGAAAATGAAAATGAAAATGACAATGACTATCATGTAAATGATCAAATGAAAGATGAACCAAACGAAGAAGTAAAAGATAAAGCAAAAGTTGAAAATCTCCCATCACACGATCCATCCGATGTTGATGTTGTACAAGCTCTACTTGAGTATCCTGTATCAAAAAGAAATAATCTTGGAAAAATCACATATGTCAACAAAGGAATTGAAAAGGCTATTTTTGATATACCGGAAGATGATCAAATAATTCTTCTCAATTTTGCTGTAAGTTATTTTTCGAATATTATTCTTATTTTGTAAGTCGAACATTTTAGAATGAACGTTCTCCTGGTGGTGGATATTTGAGGCATGCTTGTGAGTATTATTTATTCCATAAATATATAGTTAGATGAATATACAAATATATATACATATTAAAATATTTTCAAATAAATTGCTTTATTAAATAATTGTATTCTCTTAGTTAAATTGAAATGAATTATTTCTAGTTTTTTAGGGGCACAAGAAGAAATAATACTTTACAATTCTGATGGATATCGATCATTGCTTGATCTAAAATATGGACGTATGGGTGGTGGATATGCCATACCAGAATTTGGGCTTGCTTATGTTCGTGATGTATGTTTTTTTGATAAACAAACTGACAAGAATAGAAAGGCTGATATGATAGTTAGTGCATGTTATTGTCTTACTGGCTCACCACAACTTTATCATAATCCAAAGACGGAAGAAGAGGTAAATACTTAAAATTGAAAAAGCTAAAGGAATTTAAATTCGCCTTTTATATATTATATAAAGCAAAAACTGAGTATTTTCACTCAAACTAATCACTTAAGATAGTAACAGAATTTTTTGTCGTTATTTTAGTGGGAAACAAAAAATTTGGCTAAATTTCGTGCATTCATGGCTGCAGCTGTTGCTAATACAAAAGGTGATGGATCAAATACTTATCTTTTACTTGGACCAATAGGTACAGGTGCTTTTGGAAATGATGTCATTAAAATTGGAAACATCTTTCGGAAAGTACTTACATCAAAACTGATGGGTTCAAATGGTTCCATTAGTAAAGTTTTCGAGAATATTTGGTTTGTTTCGACAGATGAATGGAAAAATGATGAGTTTGAAAAAATAATGCGTACTGGTGAAACAACGGAAGTTTCAAAAGCGTAATTATGTTGATTTTTTTTTCTTACATTTAAACACGAATAGAAAATGTATCGAATAAAATCACGTAAAAATATAATAATATGATTAACTTCTTCAGGATAAACAGATAAGATTTTATTCGGAATCTTTATCGAAGAAAATAAATAATCCCAACAATTAATGATTGACATACGTACATATAATAGTTGAAAATAAACATCAATTATTTAACGATTGTCAATTGAGAATATCGTAATAGATTTTTAATTATGGTTAGAATATCAGAAATCGTCTCGAGAAATATTATTTAGATATTTCAATAATTTAACAGAATATTTATAACTAAATTCAACTTTTATATTTATTATATTATGGAATAATAGATGAAAAAGAAAAAATATTTCTAAAGGTTAATCGAAAATTAACAAAGAGATAAAACAACAACAACAACAACAACAAAAAAGAGTCAATAAATGATAACATAAAATAACTTATCAAATTTGAATTAAATATCTGTGCAAAAATACTTTATAATGATAAAGTAAAAATTCATAGAGAAAATCTTCAAGTTATTGTTTTTATTTCTTCGATATTTTTATTAATAATAATAAAATATTATATAAAATAAATATGTCTAACGATATATATTGTATAATTTTCATATTTAATTGAATGTACACATATACCATATACCAAATTCAATTATCGATTAAAATTATGTACGTAGTTTATCATATGATCAATCATCGAAGATTTATCTTGATTCATTATTAATTATTCATTTATTAGTAGATTGTTTTGTTGCTAGTCATCAGTTTTTTCCTCGTCAATATAAATCTAAAGTAAAAAAAAAAACTTTTTTAATTTATATAAATGATAATAATGTTGAAAGATTATCATTTATTTCATATATAAAACATTATTATTGGACAAGATTAGTTGTTTAGAATGATATTATTTATGCGATAGCTAATGATATTGATTTAAATAGAAATATAATAATTGATCAAAATGTAGTTTAGTATTGTTTATCATAGAATTATAATATAACTGATAATGATAATATTTTATTTTATGGTTAATTTTCAACAGGTCCAATATCAATTGTTATTATTAATCAATTTAATCTATCGTGATATTTAATTAAACAACATAAGAAAATATAAATAAAATAGATTGAATTTTTTACTTAATTACTTTATAATATTTAACAATTTCAAAAATAAATTCTTTTACTTGAATCATTAGATTCATTTTTTCATTCACTTTAAACAATTTGAACTTTAGTTTTTTAATCACAATAAAAAGAGAGAATTCATCTTCAGAATATTAAAGGCATCGTATATATTAATAGTTCATTGTTCAATATATATAAATCCGTAAAAATAACTTCTTTATTAACAAATATCTATATTAGATGATAAAATTATCACTTTTATGTTTTCTTTTTAAATGAAATAAAATTCTTTATATGAAAATCTTGTTGAAACGATATGCAGCTGAATATGAAAAACATTATGTACAGGGTGGCGCAAAAGTCAGTTTATCCAAAACAAATTGAATATCTCCATTACGGTTAGAGCAAACGAGCTGATTTTTTTATCAGTGATTGAGGCATGTACCAAGTTTATATCCATAAAGACATGCCTAGAGAAACCCTTTGTTAAGTATATTGTTTTTTCTCCTATCTGTCAAAAAGTAAAACTTTTTTTTGTTGAGATCAATATTGATACTTAACAAGTAGTCTCTCTAGGCATGTCTTTATGGATATGAAGCTTGAACATGCCTCTATTATTGGTAAAAAAATCAACTTGTTTGCTCGAACCGTAGTGGAGATATTCAATTTTTATTTTGATAAACTGACTTTGGGACAATCCTATATATGGTCCAAAAGTGACGATACCAACAAAAAACTAAATATCTCCGCTACGGCTCGCGCAAACGGACTGATTTTTTTTAACCAATAATAGAAGCATGTTCACACTTTAAATCCATGCGGACAAGATTAGAGAGAGCATTAATAAAGTACCACTAATGACCTCAACAAAATAATTTTATTTTTTTCACAAATAGAATAGAAAACAATATACTTAACAAAGGGTTTCTCTAGGGATGTCTTTATGGATATACAGCTTGAACATGCCTCTATCATTGATAAAAGAATCAGATCGTTAGCTCGAGCTGTAGCAGATATATTCAATTTTTTTTGGCAAAGTTACCTTTTTTCTAACTGTGAAAAAGTAAATTTTTCTTGTTGAGGTCAATAGTGATACTTAAGAAAAGAATCTCCCTAGACATGTCTTTGTGGATGTAAACTTGGTACATGCCTCTATCCAGAGATGGGCAAGTCAAGTTAAAAATGACTTAAGTCAAAGTCAAGTCAAGTCATTTTTGACTTGGATGACTTGACTTGAAAATTTTTTAGATGACTTGCGACTTGACTTGACTCGACTTGTAAATTTTTTTCGGTGACTCATGACTTGACTTGACTTGACTTNAAATGGAGATGAAGATCTTCAATCAAATGATAATAACAAATGTGTCTTTTACACCAAGCACAAAAAAGAAGGGTTCGTTCCTCACAATTTATAACTGAACAATAAATATCATAGAATTTAAAGCAAATGTTCTTTGGTTTGTTGATTTCACCAACTGTTTCGTTGAGTATCGTGGCTTGCACAAAATCCAGACTTAATGAGATTTTTGAACTGTGAAGCCAATAATTGATTGTGAATAATAGAATGCACATTAAGGAAATATTGACGATCGTTCAAATTCATTTCTATTCGATTGATATGAATTAATGTATGATTTTCTCGTGAATGAATCGCCATGAACGGAACAAAGATAGATCTTGTGGTTGAATGTAACTAGTAGATCCTTTAGAAAAAATAAGCAACTGACTGTCTTGATGTGGAAATACTGCTCTAAATTTTTTAGATCAGTTTGAGTTGTCCAACAATCAAGGAAAAGAAGAAATTTTCTCCCAACCAAAGACGCAGAACTTCATTTAAAAGAATGCGATGTGTTTCATCGCTACTTTTTCCGGATTTTGAAGCTCTTACTACGACATTTGGTGGTACAATTAAATCTTGTTGTACTCTTTTACCGAATTCATTTTCCTTTTCTTGGAGAATAAGGAAGAATTTTTTTAATAGTTGGCCATCAGCTGATGTAATTGGCTGCACGGTATAAGAGTGCGTTATATTATTCTTCTTTTTAACAGCAACTTCTGTTGTTTTTTCGCCAGTGAAAGAGAGAGTTCTTGGAGAAATATTATTTTGTATAATTATTAAACTCACGTAAAATAAAGTCAACAGTTTGATGGATGGCGGATTTCTGTATATAATAGTCGATATATCTCCTATTCTGTACTATTAAACTTCAGAAGAAGTTGTATTTAGAGAGGCCTAAATAATATCAATAAATTTTACCAAGATTTTGGAAACTCACTTCCTAAAAAAATCTGATGATTATACTAAAAAGTTGATATGAATAGTTTATATATTATAACGCTTCTGTACCTATATAATACATAACTTAAAAATTGAATATCTCTGTCCCAGATCTTCAGGGGCAGCTCATATTTTAAATTTGTTAGTTTTTCAGTGAGAGCTATAATTTGACCCGAATAAGATCAATCAACTCGCTCAACAATACAAACCCTTCCATTATTAGCCAACTTCAACGAATTGTTAATAATATCGATATATTCACCAATACAGACCAATTTTTTGACTTTCTTACTCAAATTGATAATTTATATGATATACTTATATCTGATATTCGTCAATGCGATAGAGATTCAATTTCGATTAGTGTCCCAACCGATGACTTGAATCGTCTCGATTCATCGTTTATGTATATTCAACTATTTAAAAAACTGTTTCTTCAAATGCAGTACGATGACGACGACAAGGAAGAGTTTGCCGAGTTTTGTCGATAACAATATCGTGACAATCCTTTATAATTACAAATCATTGATGAGTTTGAACGCGATTGCGGAGCAAATACGCCTATCTGGTAGTATACTCGTGAATGTTTTATCTATAAGATGCTTAATTGTGCTCTTCGAATACAAGACGTAGAAATCATCATCAAGATGAGCTATTTTATACGCGACGTTCATTGTCATATCCAAGAAATCCATTCTCAGACAACTCATCAAGATCCACATATTGTTTATCGTAGTCGAGGCATGCGACTTAAAGACTTCGACAGAATAAAGAAGAGCAAAGGTCGCCTGTTGGCATTCAACAATTCTTTGTCCACAACTCTTGATTGAGGAGTCTCATTATCGTTTGCTAAAAAATCACTGCAAAAGCCTGATTCAGTGGGCATCATTTTTCAAATGACAATCACTCCATCTATTCCATCAACTCAATTTGCTTCTGTAGGTGACATCAGTGCTTTTTCCAATGAGCAAGAAATTTTATTCTCAATGCACGCTGTATTCCGTATATGTGAAATTGATCAACTCGGAGAGCGGCTATGGTGCATAGAACTCATATTGACAAGTGATAACGGTTAAGAGTTTAAACTTCTTACAGAGCACATAGAACAAGAAATACAAGCATCAACTGGGTGCCACCGGCTTGGTGGATGGGGGTGGAGGTGGGGTGTGGGTGAAAGAGATACCACATCCACCCACACTGTAAATAATTACTTCGAGAGACCAATGAATAACCGCACATTAAGTGGCAAACTGCTCAAAAATTGCATCTACTAGCTTGATCAAAATTGAAACAAGATAAATTGAGATAACTACAATTTTTATCTAGGACCGACATGGAATTACGACTAATTAGTAATATGACGAAGATTTATTATGAGTAATCATACTCTTTTCTTCGATCTTTTCAAGAGTTTATCACAACATTCTCGAGTAATTGCGACATGAACATGTTCGTTGTCATAGTGATTCTCTATAGAATTTACATTCTATTGTTGGTTTTAGAATTTAAAGGAAATCAGAAAAACAATAGTGGAGGAAGGACGTTGTGCAGCCCGTAAAAAAAGTATAATCAACTTCAAAAAATGTACAGATCGCACTGGTGAATGTCTTCGATAACGAATGAGATCTTTAGTTCTTATTTTTTTTTCTTCTCAGGTGAAATTTGGAAGAAAAGAAAAAAAATTGGCAAATGAATTATTTTTACCGTATCATTGAAATTATTTATAGTCGGAAGGAACAACAAAATTGAGTCACGTTGTGTTATGAGTTAACATGCAGAGAGCTATAACACACTATTGAAAGAAGTTTGTATGTTGTAACGAGATATGGAAATATCATGAGTCACAACTTAATTTCAGATCTGAACATAAAATATGTGCATTACACTGAGGCATCTTTTTAGGCGGACAAAGAGATCTTATATTAAAAGCAAAATGGATGAGTCACAAAATTCGGCTGCCCTGATTCATACTCCACCCGATACACAATTATATTTATCTGTATCAAGTGAGCCCAACATCAAGTATAAACCCATGCCTGATCCATTATCTAGCTCCGTACCATTGGATTCTCTAACCGAGGACACTATTGATTCAATTGTTTCGACTACTCGACAACTTGGTAGGGATGATTGGAGCTTAAGTAAACGTACTTTACTCGCTTTTTTGCTTGCAATCAACAATAAAGTGAGCGAAATTGAAAAAGGTGACTCGAACAATAAATTCAATGAACAAACTGTGCGACATGCGGCAAAAGTTCGGCAATGGCTCGTGCAGAAAGATCGTTCTGGTAACATCAAGAAACTTGATTGGAATGAACTTCAAGAAACCTATCAAAGGATTGCAAGAGAAAAATATGACGGTACCGCAAAGTATTTTGATGTCGAAAATGCCGAACCCTACTCTGAGTTAACTATCGGAGGGGTAAGTTTATCTATATCGTATGTATACAATTTCTCATTTATAATTTCTATGGATACGTGCTCGAATTCCATAAAGTCGGAACTTAAACGTCCAATACAAATTAGCATTCTACAACTACAACTAACTAGAACTGAAGGAGAGCATAAAATTCATGGAGCTATAAGTGCTATATTTCGCTAATATTGCTAGTAGATGACATTTAGTAATACTCACTACATATCAAATAGTTGACAGATGGTGAGTGTTTTTGAATTTAATTGAAGGCATATCATTGATGTTAATTAATTGATTCTTTTTCAAATTATACACATCCCCTGTATTCATTGACTAGCATAGTACTGTATGGATTCAAATATGTGTGAAATTTGAAAAAACATTTAAAAATTATCCTAAAATGGTAGTTCATATACTAAAGTTCTTGATTTCTTGCAAAAATTATCAATGCGTCTTTTAAGACTACGGTAACCTTGGACATTTTTTCGGAAAAACTTGACAAAGCATTTTCTAAATCAATGAATTCGAATCTGTACATGTTTGGTCAAAACTCTTCAGTACGATTTTCTCGTTTGGTGAAGGCTTTGCGACGACTTTTTGAAATTTTATAAAAATTTAGGCATTTTCTTGAAATGGACATTTATTAGCCGAAAAAAAACAAACTCGGATATTTCATCAAGCCATGTATAGATTTGGATTTCTTGATCTCGAAAATCTTTCGTCAATATTTATAAAACTCACTTATTTTCTTGAAATCGAATTCCCTCGATCGAAAAAAGCTTTGGAAAATTTCTGTTTGTATCATAAAGACTGTAGCACAAATGGTACATTCTTAATTAAGAGCTAACCGCTTACTAGCTACCTGGTAGCTGTTAGCCGATAAAGATAAGCATGCAACGATAAATAACCAATAATTAAAATAGTCATTTATCATTGCTAAATAGAAAGTTTCTCAATCATAAAACCAGTTACTGTTACCTTGTCGGATATCGGTATTAGTAGTAGTAAGTGTGACATTCATGCATGGAACTCAAGGAATCGAAGGAGCTTCACTATCTCTAGAAACTAGATTTATTGTAAAGTCTGAAAAAGTGAACTTAATTACAAAAGCTGTTGTTAGATGTTCAGACATTCATAGATGATTTTCTACAATGTCTGGGACCATTTTGGAACATATTTTTGGAGTACTCGCAATTAGGTGACGTCTCGGCTTGTGTTTTCTCGGCATCAAAGTCAGCTGATTCTTGTGCAGTTGACTTCCTGTTTATGTCAGTGCTTTTCGAGTGCTCTCAGCTGGATGATGCTTGTTTGCCAGTTCTTTAGTGATACCCACACATTAGGTAATGCGTGTATTGCCTCTACATCATGAAGTCTCAAGGGATACAGTAGTTTCGCTTATTTCTTGAGTGAAAGAATATACTTTGGAACGAGCATTTTGATTCTCTATAGGTTAAGAAATTATTTTTTTTCGACAACTAATAGTTATAAGTTTTCGTCGATGACAGCTATAGGATAGAGTCAATTTTTTGTGTATATTGTGGAAAGCAGCGTCTGTAACGATTCCAAGTGAACATTGCAAGTCTTTGATTGAAGTCGAATTCAAGAGAGAAAAGTTTCATAAAGAAGAAGAACGTGAGTATTGATTGTCCCCAACTCGAATAAAAAGGTTCGGGTATATTATTTCCAGCGAATAAAAAGAACAAAATTTGGAAGGAAATATATGAAATCTGCTTAATTTTATTTGCTCTATATCTTCTATAAAATAATACAACAAACTAAGTAACTTAGTTGATTAGTAAGATATTTTTCTTGTATGTCTAACACTTGCAGCATCTCTCATATTTCTAATATCTTTTATAATTATCTATAGATCTCTTTAAATGTAGGAGATACTTCTCAATGTATATATAAACTTTCGAGTGTGATTCAGAAGAAACTACCTATCACAGACATTGTAAAAATACACCAGATACTCGTCCAAGTCTAAATGTTTATATTTTCTAAATCTATTGTCTTTTTTTTCCAATATCACTATACATAGTAAATCATCTATACTTTTATTGTTCACAAAAATTAAAAATACTAGGCTAAGATATCTGCACGATGACACGAGTCGGTCTGCTAAAAATTCACACTTGAAATCATTCTAAACAGACAAACAGTCAAGATGAACAAATGATGGGTTATACGACATTTGAATGATTGCTGCTTTTCTGCAAGATTTAAAAAATAGAATTTCCCTTAGTTTCCAACTACAACGGTAGTTCATATTCTAGCGAGTGCATCTTAGAGTACGAAGGGAATCATTGATATTTTTTTCTCTAGCATAATCCAATAAAATCTGTTGATATGGATAATTTATAAATTTCGACATATCTGAATTTTTCCAAACAAAAATATGTTCATGTGTCGGATATAATATGAAAATATACGATCGGATCTTTTTTTTCCACAAATTATCCACAAAGAAATTAATACAATCAAAGCCGAATTCGAATATTTCCCATAAAGTTCACTGACAGAATTTGTTTATACGGAAACTATTCTTAAAAGAATCTTTTGAAATAACGTTTTTCATATTATTAATATTTATTCAGTTACACCCCGATGTAAACCAATCTCGGAAATATATAGCCCGTTTTCGAAGTCATGGTTGGCAACCAAATGAATTAAAAATTTATTGGAATGTGCAACAACTTGAAAACCTTTGTCCGAAACATGAAACACAAGCTAAACAAGGGGAAGAAAAAGATGAAGAAAAAACTCGTGTAAAACTCGAAAACAATGAAGAAGTAAAGGATGAAGTAAAGACCGAAGTAAGACATGAAAATCTACCACCACATGATCCATCCGATGCAGATGTTGTACAAGACCTACGTCAGCATCCTGTATCCAAACGAAACAATGCTGGAAATATCACCTATGTCAATAAAGGAATTCAAAATGCCGTTTTTGACATACCAGAAGGAGCTCAAATAATTCTTCTTAATTTTGCTGTAAGTTATTCTTCGAATATAACTCTCGGATTAAGGTCAACATTTCAGAATGAACGATCTCCAGGCGGTGGATATTTGAGACATGCATGTGAGTACTATTCGTTTCATAAATATATAGATGCACAAATATAAATATAAGACTTTTTTGCAAATAATTTCTCGTGAAACTATTGTATTCTGCTTTGGATATCGAAACGAATATTTTCCTATTTATCAGGGGCACAAGAAGAAATTTTACTTTACAATTCGGATGGTTATCGAGCATTGCTTGATCTAAAATACGGGCGCATGGGTGGTGGCTATGCTATACCGGAATTTGGGCTTGCATATGTTCGTGATATACGCATTTTTGATAAAAAAACTGGCAAGATTCGTCAAGCCGATATGCTAGTTTCTGCATGTTATTGCCTTACTGGTTCACCTCAACTTTATGCTATTCCAAAGTCGCAAGAAGAGGTAAATATTTGAAACTTAGAAAATGAAGAGCATTTAAGTTCGCGTTTGATACGTCATGAAACAGCAAAAACTCAGTATTTTCAGTTACTGTATTCATTTTAAGTAATAATAGAATTCTTTTTTGATTATTTTAGTGGGAAACAAAAAATTTGGCTAAATTTCAAGCATTTATAGCTGCAGCTGTTGCTAATACAAAAGGTGATGGATCAAATACTTATCTTTTACTTGGCCCTAGAGGTACGGGTGCTTTTGGAAATAATGTCCCTCAGATTGGAAACGTCTTTTGCAAAGTACTTAAATCGAATATGATGGGCTCAAATGGTCCTATTTCCAAAGCTTTCGAGAACATCTGGTTTGTTTCGACGGATAAATGGAAAAATGATAAGTTCGAAAAAATCTTGCTTTATAGTGTAAAAAGCAAAGTTTAACAATTCTAGCTATGTTGATTTTTTTGTTATATGTACACGTGATAGAAAACATCTCCGAATAAAAAAGACGTAAAAGATCATAATTAATATCATGGAATCCTTCAGGATCAACATATATGATTTCGCTTTGAATGTTGACAAAGATACTACAGTCTCCGATAATTAATGATGGCATGCACATGTTAGTTGAAACTAAATCGTAATCATTAAAAGAATGTCAACTAAGGCCGTCGCAGAATACTTATATTCACGTGTACATATAACAAAAAAATCAACATAGCTAGAATTGTTAAACTTTGCTTTTTACACTATAAAGCAAGATTTTTTCGAANATTCGATGTGAACACAACAGAAGTGTTCGATTTCGCTTGTGGACCTGGTCTTGTTGCCTTCGAACTTTTGCCACATGCCAAACGGATAGTGGGCGTTGATTCAGCACAAGGCATGGTCGATGTTTTTAATCAAAATGTAAGAGTTCAATTGACTTAAGTGCCGTATTCAGTCTAAAATAAGAATTTGATGACACATATACCGTAATCACTTATTAAATGGGAATTTACAAATACACTTTTCTTCAACATACGCTAGTGATAGTTTCTGAATTTGAAATCTGAAGTTCTTCTACACAGTATTCTCTTTGTTGTCTACAAAATGTCTTCATCATTAGTTCTTCTTCACACTATATGAAATTGCGTTTTATCCGACAATGATCGATTACACATGTTAATACAATTGTAATTAGTGTATGCAACATATCAAATAACGACATAGGTCTTGTAGTATGCACAAAATAAAATGACAAGGGTTCTCAACGAGAGAAAAATTGATAACATCTTATTTTGATGAATGTAAACATAGGTGATATACACAATGATTTCTGGAGAAGGAAACAAAACTTTGGTAAAAGAATTCTGCTCTACAAAACGTTTTTTTGCTCGTACTAGTTTACAGGGATTTTTCGACCATATATTTCTCTATACTACTGGTGACGTTTTTAGAGATCTGTATAACCATTAGATATCTTTGGAAAAAAACATCGCCTTATGATAATGATCAGTAACAAAAAATTTACGGCTTTTAATCTTCTAAAAAATACAAATTTTCTGAAAATATTTTATTACGGGAATATCTTTTGAATATGCCCAATTTTTTTGCATCATTTATTCATATGACCCAAAATGGATATAAACTGATCTTCTCTATATCTAGATTTGTTTCTAACACATTTTCAGCCATTTTTGAATAGTTCTTTTTTTATATTTCTTTAATTGAATTCAAATTCTTGACTATAATAGGCTCAACAACAAAACGTATCATCGGACAAATTGCATTGTGTTAAAATCGATTCTCTGAAAGGTGATCATACTGATGTCGGCGGACAACTGTTCGATATTGTCATATATGTTTATCGAGATAAGAGCGAACCACAGTAGTATAATATTGATTGCCTAATTGTGTGCAAGCCTATCATCATTTTGAAGATCCAACGCATATCACCAATGCACTTGCTGAACGACTTAAGCTAAAAGGACGTTTGATCGCCATCGATTTTGCGGACGATGAGGACATCAAAACTATTCTTGACGGCAAACGTGAGGGTACATCCGTTCATACAATTGCTCACAAACACGGTCAGTATTTTTCAGATTGATAGTGAATAATTTATATGTTCAATTTCTACAGGTTTTTCATTGGAACAAATTGTAGATATGTTCAAATTAGCTGGATTAAAAGATATTCATGCTCAGATATTCGATCTATTCTTTACTTTTCTTTAATTCAGAGATTTCTTTCCAATTAGTATGACTTCAAAATATTCAAATCTGAAAATAAGTCTTATCAAGGTCATGAAATATTTATCAAAGTATTGGATGGCGATGACGATTTATTATTACAATATTTTGTAGCACATGGCGAGAAAGTTTAATAACAAAGAAGCCAATACAGAAAACTAAATAGATTTTTATTGTGATGGTCATACTACTTTCTGCTTTTCCTAATCGTGTCTATTTTCCATCGATTTACAAAACATTCTCTAGAAATTCACAGATGAGATCGAAGCTTGAAAGGTCATCAAGTGTGCGGGATACAGTAGCAGCAACTATCATGATAGAGAGTGGAATTAATCACAAGTGAACAATATCTTTTCTTCGTGATTCAAAAGCCAAAAAAAAATATTACCATACGATCTGGCCACGCAACGGTCCCTCCTATTTGTGGCAATTTGAATAAATATGAGAAAATCGAGTTTTTCGAAGAGCTCAACTGCCTTATGGCTATGTAACATTTTCATGCCGATTACCAATACATACGTGCGTAGCTTTATATTAGTTTCCTTGCATCATAAATTTGCTTTCTGCATTATTATATGTCTGTGAACAGTGCACAAAAAGCAGCCGCAAACCAGCAAGAGAGAAAAATTTCTGCTTGAGCAAGGGTATTGGCGAAGAGCTGAATCTCTCGAGCAACCAATTCTACCCCTAACCTCACACCCACACCCACATACCCACTCCATTCAATTATTTATGCAACATGCAACATTATGTCACCCAAATTAGAACGAGTAATAGAGATAACGTGTTTTCAACAATACAGCAAACTCTACATTCTGAGTGCAACTGAAAGCTCAGTGATGGATGAAGGCCTTCCAATGTATTAACATGCTTAAAATCAGTATATTTACATCGATATAAAGAGGCGTGTTATATTCTTGATGAGGATAAATGTAATTTCTGTCACAATTTCTAAAACATTTTTTCCCTAAGATGAATTCGATTTTCAATGGTAATCATTCTTCGAGAATGAAGCACATTGAGTTGATTATGACAAATTTACAGATAGTCGTCATTCGAAATGCAGAATAACTTTTTCTGCATCTGGGATATCGACACATCTATTCAAGAAAAACAGATATATAATTGGAGAAGTTTATTAAGCAACTACATGAGCAATAAATAGTTATCTACGATCATAGTTTTCTAATGAAATGCGCAAAAATATCATGAAGAAAAAAAATTAGAGAAGCTGTCCAAAGTAATTAAAAAGCATGAGATTTGATGAAAGATATTATAAGTCACTATCGAAGGATTGCAAGAAGAATGGCAGCAAAAATTACTGAAACATTAATGTTTATCGATCTTGCGCTGTTGTAAAGGTCGGTATTACAGCAACAAAAGTCAACCTTCACATCCATAACTTGATCACTGAAGCAACCATTCTGTATACATGTCATTGTACCGTTTTTATAAGAATCGCCAGCACCTCTGCTTACTGCTTGACTGTCAGAAAATACTCCCTTCGCTTTCTAAAGACATTATATAGAAGATAAATGCTGCTAGAAAGAATAAAATTCAAATTCTCACCCAACACCAAGTATTTGACGATGCTATGGTCACTCCACTTGTATCCTTGTTGAATGGGTCAGTACAACCTGCCGCCTCGCGAGGGCAGAAGTAGCATTGAATAGCAGCTGTATGGTGCATACCTGCTGTAACAGATCTTTGTACAAATACAACGGTTATGCATACGAGACTTACTAATGAACATGAAAACCACGACGAAGAGTAATTGATGCATGTTTACTATCGACTGTGTTGTGAAAAAGAGTTGTAACGTTAGTGAACAGAAGAAATTGGATGTTCACCAGCTTTTGAATACTGTATTTGCGGTGAATGCCTATAAAGGACAATTTTTACCTCATAAATCAAGTAGACAATATTCTTCGTTTGTGTCCGCAAGATCATATCACAGAGAATCTCTCTGGTTGACCAATACATATAGACGATATGCTATTAAGAGATTACGCATTCACTTTTATTTTGCACTTATTCTTCTCTTCCAATCAAAACAGAAATTAGACAATCTTTCTGTCATGGAAGTGTGATATTCGAGAATTCCAACTGTACATTTGAGGTAACTGCATTTCTTGTCGAAAGTCTTGTGATCAGATTGTGATCTATGATATTCTCTATTGAAACCATCATATGTTGAGTTCAATAGAAAAGCTTCCAAAGTAATTCTCTTTACATAGTTAGTACTCCAGTGTGTCAAATAGATTCTAAGATGTCATACCCGTGGTAGAGGAGGAGCATAAACCATCACTCGTTACCGATCGTATTGGAGAAATGCTTTTTTTCAGAAGAAACCAACTGCAAATTGGAAAGTAAAGATGTTCCTCTAACCTCGATCCGCTGAAGAATATTTAGTAGTCTTCTTACAATCGTTTTGAAATCTCGTATTTAATAATTTCAGTTGAATAATGTAGGTTCATTGTCAGGCTATACGTTCATAAAAAAAAGATTTTTTTCTAACGATTGTGCGCATCTGGGATCATTTAAAACAAAAAGTGTTTTGAACTATTGTGCATCACTTCTTATCATGATATATTGAATAGATTTTTTATCCCACGTGGCATATAAAAAGTCTCAGAAAACAGCATCCTATACAGTGTGAAAGAAAAAATGTCACTCTCTTCAAAAAGAGCTTATGCTCTTGTCTATGCATCACTAACAAAGAAAGTACTACTATGCTAACAACAGATGAATGAAATACAAGATGGTGTGGGTGTGCGTGAGAGGATGGGTGAAAGAGATACTACACCCATCCACACCCACACCCTTCAGGATCAACATATATGATTTCGCTTTGAATGTTGGCGAAGATACTAGTCTCTGATAATTAACACAGGTCAATCCTTCTCGGTCGTACACGGTCGTATACCAACCAATTATGGTGGATAACATCAACTGTTTCCGGTGTAATACGGTCATTGTGAACAATAACTGTAAAGACTTGCCGTTAACGACTACCGTAACAATACGGCGACCGTATACGTGCATTAGATAAAAAGCTGTAAAGCACCGTATACGCTAGCTGTTTTCGGTTGTCGTATCCAGCAATCGTCAACAACCGTTTCCTTATCACTACACTCATCAGAAATGAATAGCGTAAAAACCCATCGTTTACGACCGTCGATAAATTACGCCGGCTCTAAGTGATAA